TCAGGTGTACATTTTTTTTTTTCTAAGATTGAGTCTTTGATTTTCCTGCCTGTCGCACACCTCAGATTTGTGTTACCACTACACCGTTTTATCTCTTTGTGCCAAAACCGCTCAGTCAAATGAACAGAACTTGATGTAATTGGCTTTGAATGTTAAGAGTCCATTTTAAGCTATCACCTGTTACACCCTCATTTATACACCGTGGACGTCCCAAAGATTAGAACAAAAGCACAAATGCAATTTTTTTTCATGCTATTTAACGCATTAAACGGTTGTTGGTCAATTATTTTATTCCTCAGTTGTTTTTCTAATCATACAACTTGTGCTTTTTTGTCTAGAAGTACTAAAATCAACATTCAGAAATGTTATTCACCTTAAAAATTGAATGTTAAAAAGGTGACACTATTTGTAATGACGTGAAAGGGTGGAATGTTTTTTGGACAAGATATTTAATTTTAATTTTAAACTTCACCCTATATTGTCAGTCATGCATTTCATAAATGAAAGTTGAAAATCAGTTGTTAGTCACCACAAGGTGGCAGTGTAAACGCATCATGATTGCACATTTGGGTTTATGTTGAAACATGACTGTTAATTGAGTTTAATTTTAGTAAAATTTTACAACCTAGGTGGGATTTAATTACACAGCACTTAAAACGGATTATATCAAATTGATGTTTAATTCTAAAGCCAAATGCTTCACTTTAAGTTAAAAGGATATACGGTTAGTAGATTTGTATTTAGTTAAAATAAAGTTATGTTTGGTACAGTTCAACCATGACATTAAACCATTATGAATTAATGAACAATTAAATATTATATATATTTATTGTATTTCATAAAACCTAATGCATTAATGTTAACATAGAGACTTTATTTCTATGAACAATTTAAAAAGTATTATTTAACTATATTTAAATTATAATTTATATATAATAATGAACAATTAAATATTATATAAATTTAGTATAATTTAATAAAACCTAATGCATTAATGTTAACACAGACTTTTTTATTTCTATAAACAATTTAAATTCTATTAAACTATATTTAAATTATAATTTATATATAATAATGAAAATTAAATATTATATATATGTATTGTAATTTCATACAACCTAATGCATTAATATTAATATAGAGACTTTTTATTTCTATGAACAATTTAAATTATTAAACAATATATTTAAATAATAGTTAATAATAATACATGTATAAGTGTGTGTGGGTGTGTCTGTGTAGATAGATAAATAGATTATGAAGTGTTAATTTTTGGGCTTCACATTACAGTGTATTTTGTGCTAACATAGTTTAATGGTAATTTGTATTAAAGGAGTAGTTCACTTCCAGAACAAAAATTTACAGATAATGTACTCACCCCCTTGTCATCCAAGATGTTCATGTCTTTCTTTCTTCAGTTGGAAAGAAATTATGTTTTTTGAAGAAAACATTTCAGGAATTTTCTCCATATAGTGAGTGGACTTCTATGGTGCCCGCGAGTTTGAACTTCCAAAATGCAGTTTAAATGCAGCTTCAAATGGCTCTAAACGATCCCAGCCGAGGAAGAAGGGTCTTATCTAGCAAAACGATCGGTCATTTTCTAAAGAAATTTTACAATTTATATAATGTTTAACCTCAAACGCTCCTCTTGTCTAGCTCTGCGTGAACTCTGTGCATTCAGGTTCATGACAGTTAGGGTAGGTCTGAAAACTCCCATCTCATTTTCTCCTCCAACTTCAAAATCCTCTTACATTGCTGTTTTACCTTTTTTTTTAAAGGGCATTTGCGGGGGAGTAGCCATCATTTCAGAAGTGGGGGGACAGAAATGTAATGTAATTATATATATATATACATACAACCTACCAGTCAAGATACACTGCTGGACAATAACCAATAATAATGATTTGTTTATATAATAAAACACTTATCACATATATTTTTTTTATAGCCATCATTTCAGAAGTGGGGGGACAGAAATGTAATGTAATTATATATATATATACATACAACCTACCAGTCAAAAGTTTTTGAACAGTAAGATTTTTAATGTTTTTAAAGAAGTCTCTTATGTTCACCAAGCCTGTATTTATTTGATCCAAAGTACAGCAAAAGCAGAAATGTTGTGAAATATTTTTACTATTTAAAATAACTTTTCTATGTGAATATATTTTAAAATGTAATTTATTGCTGTGATCAAAGCTGAATTTTCAGCATCATTACTCCAGTCTTCACTTCAGTGTCACATGATCCTTCAGAAATCATTCTAATATGCTGATTGTCTGCACAAGAAACATTTCTGATTATTATCAGAGTTGAAAATGGTTGTACTGCTTAATGAAGTGTGGAAACCATTATACAGC